AGTAGTAGTAGTAGTAGTAGTAGTAGTAGTAGTAGTAGTAGTAGTAGTAGTGGTAGTAGTAGTAGTCGTAGTGGTGGTAGTAGTAGTAGTAGTACTAGTAGTACTAGTAGTAGTATTTCTAGTAGTAGTATTTCTAGTAGTAGTATTTCTAGTAGTTCTAGTAGTAGTAGTAGTAGTAGTAGTAGTACTAGTTGTACTAGTACTAGTATTACTAGTAGCAGTAGCAGTAGTAGTAGGGGGGTCACGCGACACGCGATCGTTTAGAACCAGTATGTATACATTTGGATTCTTTTTATACCGCAATCCACTGCTCTCCATCCTCATAACGTCTCTCCATCGGCTCCATCTGTCCTCCAGCATCCACTGAGACGAGGCACCGCATGCTCGAAGAAGGCGAAGGGCACCCCGCTCAGGAAGGCGGTACCACCATGGAGATCAAAGACCTGACGGCCGACAGACCGACAGAGGCAAGCCGAAAGAGGCGACCGCTTCACTCCTTGGTACAAAAAGGTTGGAATATGGAGAGACCATGAGAGACCTCTTCGGCAGTTGCAAGAGGTTTAAAATGGTCTAAAGTTCAGTTGGTCAAGCTTTCTTTGGGATTTGGGGACACCGTTCTGAAGGTGTTGCTAGTCGTCCCAACATGAAGGACCCATCGCCTCTGTAGCCTAAGAGACCTCCAAACACCCTCACACATCATACTCTTGGTCTTGGTCTTGCAAAAAACTCCAAAGCCATTTGACCTCTCATTTTGCGACCTGTATAAAAACACACCAACACATCACCTGCAAAACAACCGCACAAATAAAATATGCCCCACTAGTCGGGCAAATAGGTCAACCCAATCCCCTCACACCACCGAATTTATTGATGAAGTCAATGTATAGTCACAAACAAACACGACCCCTGGACGAACACGACCCTGGACGAACCCAAAAAGCTAGACGTTGACTATACCTTCCTAAACACCCCTGAAAGGGCCTCGTGCTTCTTAAATCAAGAGCCAATCGACGCCAATAGCCCATAAAGGCTATGGCCTACAATCCATTGCTCCCCATAACCCTCCCCCACCGCAAGTTGACGCCTGGGCCTTCCGGTAGCAGCGGAAGTAGAGCACCAAGTCTGTGCTGTTGGGCATCGGAACAGGCTCCTGACGCAGTCTGGCCCCAACTGGCCGCGTCTCAGGCGTCGGGCGCCAGACTTTTCTGGAACCAGAGGTTTTCAGAGTAGGTAGGACTTTTGCCCGACTCCCACCTCGTTTGATGGACGTGCCCGCACCACCTGGGTCTTCCATCCATCCCGATGCCCGTGTCGTCTCACGTGCTCCTTCAGCTGTGGCATCTCTACCTGAAAGGCCTGCACAGCGTGGCTTGAGAGATGAAACATCGAAGCTTGCTCATCTAGAATCTGGAGCTTCCGACTAACTCCGACTAACCTCAACACAAGTAGCGGTGTTGCTGTCTACGTGGCGGTGAGGCACGCTGATAGCAACGAGTTCAGCACCAGTCGGGGGACCCGCCACCCGGCCCGCTCGCCCCACCTCCCGGAGGAGTGGGCGCCAGACCAGTGGCGGCTCCTTCCACTCAGCGAGGTCCTCAGACGGCGACCCGCGAGCAGAGCGACGAGGGCCCTGGTGAGCGGTCACGGTGTTCAGGTCGGGCGAGCGGAGCGTCGAGTTGGGTCCAAGGACCCGCGCACTCAACATGATCCTCGATGTGATGGAGTAGAAAGCTGACGTAGAAAGCTCTGCAAGTCTAGTCTCCACTGATTTGATCCAAAGGTTTTTTGGGGTAGCAAATGCAACAGTTCATCTCCCGAAGGAGAGACCACTATGTGCCTATGCAACAACCAGAAGGGGTGAAGAAACCAGGAGAGAAAGCATGTTAATGTATATAGGCTCTTGATTAACAAAACCTCTTCATTTGGATTGTGAAACCTCTTCCTGTGGAGGTTTTACTATTCAAGAGTCCACAATACTGGAAGCAAAAGCACTTATGGTCTTTTAGTGAGCACGAGCACGTTCAAATGTACTTCTGTGTCCCTCATGCGACCGTAACGGACCCGTGCCTGATGAAAGGGGTCCCCACCCAGCACTTGCACGTGCCCCTGCGGAAGACGCTAGACAAACACAGATACGGATGTCTCTCAAACGACTGATCAACCTGTGACTGATATGGATTGGTAGAACCTCAAGTCCAACAGCAATCCTGCACGATCGTTTTCAGGAACATGTATGTCAAAAGACTGAACTGTACAGTTTAGACCTTGAACTCTGAGACTCAGTCCTTTCTTCGTTTTCATAATCCAGCTTAACTATTAACTACCAACTCGAAGGGGCGGAAACAAAAACCAACCAAAGTCTCCACTGAAAAGAAAAAACAAAGTTGTTCCTAAAAAAGCTACTAGTAGCACGGGCATCGCTAGTAGTAACAAGAACCTTGTAGTAACAAGTGCATCACTACTAGTAGCTAGAAGCTACTCCAAGAGTGACTCCACACTGACGCTCCCGCCCACACCTTGGAGCGGAGCTTCTCTAAGCATCCCTGGCCCCTGTTGAGCCGGCGGGGGAAAACGCCGTTGTTTAAAAAAAAGAGCGGGGGACTGTGAGAGTGCAGTTTGTTTATTGTGTTTTAAAAAGTGTTTGGTATCATTTGACGCTCAAGATATGCAAAGATGCTTGTTTTCACTCTAGGGCAAAAGATACCACTCTACTCTAACAGACATGGGGCCTGGGTTTTGGTTTTCTCAAAATTTTAGGTAAATGCTTCAGTGGTAGCCCCTCTCCATATAAACACATATATATATAATCTATTCCTGCTCTCTCTGTATGAACAAATATATTATGTATTCCTGAATCAGGGTCATTTTATTGTTTTGGAAGCAGCAAGCAGTCATTCAGATGGTTTTGAACAAACTAATTAGGAAAGAAGCAGGCCATAAAAGTGTCTCTAGATCTTTGCTTATAATTATGTTTAGATTTGGAAATATTTTACATAGACGTTTTTATGTTACAAAAGATTCTCTATAGATCTCTGCAAATAGTTATTTCTAGATTTAAACAACTATATAGAAACCTTGTATGTTAAAAGTTTTATTCTAGATTTCTGCGGGTAAGAGCTTGCATGTTCAAAGTTGTCCTCTGGATCTCTGGGAAAGTAGATATCCCATATATGTGTGTTTTCATGAAATGAATTGAAAGAAAAACATATTTATTGATATATAGCATGTTTAAATTGACATGACCATTTCCAGAGATCCAGAGGAAAGCTTTTGAAATGAAAGCTTTTTATATATATTTTTTGTAGAAATGATCATCCCCAGAGATGTAAAGGGAAGCTCTTGAATTAGAAGCTTGTACATAAAACAATTTTAATATGTCCATATTATGTAAATAAAAACCTATTTACTTCAAAAAAGAGTTTTAGTCTTGTTCCCAGCACTCCCAGTGCAAAAAATACTGTAAAGCACGGGGGTTTGTAGCATGTGTTTCCTTAAACTAAATAGACTAGAGCTAGAATAGAATCAGGCAGAATTAAATTGGATTTGAGTTAGAGCTAAGATAGAACTGAATTAAAACCGAATTTGAACTAAACTCGTATTGAACTATAACTATAACATACTATAACCTATTTAAAATTAGATGAGAGTTGAATTAGAAAGGAATTGGAATTGAAATTAGAAGTTCGCCAGAATAAGATGTAAAACGCTTGAGCTACAAGATGCGCAAGTCGAGGAGGCTTCGAAATTACAAAGCCGAAGCAAACAACTGGCAATGAATTAGAACTACAGCTTACACAGATTCATAACAATGTCATGTAAATTGGAAGGTATCATTACAGTTTCATGTCAAGCTGATTGGACATGCAATTGGCAACCACATTGATACCAATCAGAAGTTAATGCACAGACTTGTACATGGAGATTTCGACAAGGACAAAGGGAGTGGTGGGCTCAGATGCTCTGATTGTAAGAGCAAAGAACATATGCCTTTAGGTGAGACTTAGGCTCACATACTTGAAGGTTGAACGTAATAGTAAGAACACAGATTGACCTAAATAGAAAAACCAAAAAAACAAAAAACCTTGAGAAAACCAATAACAACCTAGGAAAAGCCAAAAAAACAAAAAATAAACAATTCTGGGGAAGTCTTGAGGAAAGGGGGGGGGTCCAGCCAAGACTCTCTGAGAATTGTTTTTTTGTGCGTGTGCCCCTTGTAGTCACAGGGATTCGTTTGAATTGTTTTTCATCAGCAGGGGGGCAATGAACACTTTGGAAGGCATTGCCCAACGAAGACCCTTCCATCGTGTTGTGATATTCCTGAGGGACGCCTCGGGAACGTACCTGCAACAATTTTTAAAGTTTGCGGCAGTCACGCACGGAACGCCGTCACTTCGACCTGATCGCCGATCTCGACCTTGTGCTTTGGGCCTCCTTTCCTTTTAAGACCTGCAGGATTCGATGGCTTCCTACTGGTACTCATAGGAAATGGAACCCTAGGCCGGCGTGTGGCACCGCTTTCAGTTCCGTACGCATGTCCAACCCGGGATGAGCCCGCAGAGTGCCTCCCGTGGACCCGTCGAACAGGGGTTTGTC